GCATATGTGTAAATGTTTCATGTATGTGCCTGGTATCTGTGGAGGCCAGAAAACAGTGTTAGATCCTCTGGAACTGAAATTAAAGTTAGGTATTAACTGCCATGTGGGTGCTAGGAACCAAATCCAGGTCCTCTGGAAGAGCAGTAAGTGCTCTTAACTGCTGAGCCATTTCTCCAGTCCCTAAAAAGGATATTGCTTAAAGAAGTAAGGTAGATGGATAGATGCATGGATCCTCAGACCAACCAATCAGGCACTATACCAATCTGAAACTCTTAGGTTTTTGTTGCTGTTGCTTATTTGCTTGTGTTTTGTTGTTGTTGTTGTTGTTTTTGATGCTAGGAAATTAAACTCTGGGCCTTGTACATGCTAGGCAAGCACTCTAGCACTGAACTCAATTCCCAGCCCCCAATCTGAAACTCTTAAAATGAGGAAATCTGACCTGTTCATACACATGTTTAAAAAGTTAAGATCTGACTAGACTTTATCCTCAACACAAACTCCTTTCCCAATGGTGTAATGACATTTCCTAATGTGTACTTATTTTAACCCTGATCTCACTAAGAAATGACCAGAAAGAAGTCTTCACAGCAACTACTTGATGTCTTCAGTCTTGCATTCCTGTTAAGAGTAAGGTTCATATGGTATACTATACTCACTCAAATACCTTAGTGAATTGTTCCAGTCCCATTAGGAGTTACTGGCTATTAAAAAAGGAAAAACGGGGGTGGGGGGGATGACTGGAGAGATGACTTAGCAGTTAAAAGCACTGGCTGTTCTTGCAGAAGACCCAGGTTCGAATCCCAGCAACCACATGGTGACTAACAACCATCCATGACTCCCGTTCCAGCGGTATGATGCCCTCTTCTGTCCTCCATAGGCACTGTACTTACATACATGCAGGCATAACACTCATACACATAAAGTAAAAATAAATAAAAATGTAATAAAAAAAGGAAAACCAAACAAAGGTCATAAATTAACTGAGCTCAATTATCACATACTAGGGCCAATAGAACTTGAACTGAATGTAAAGAAGGCTCTAAATTACTTTTTCCCAAAACTGTGATGTGTCCTCAAAAGTTTCCCAATTTTACCAAGCTCATTTTTATTATTTGTGCGATTGAATGGGATGGTGAGATGGTTCTGGGGGCAAAGGCATGGGTGGACAAAAATGACAATCTGAATTTGATCCCCAAAATCTAAGTAGAAGGAGAGAAATGACTCCCCAAATTTTCCTCTGTCTTCCATGTAAGTGCCATGGCATATAAATGCAAACTCATACTTTATATAAATAAATATTTAAAAAGGAAAAATGAAAATTGCAACTGGCCTAACCAGAAATCAACCTCAAATACAGTTGTGGCTCTTCCACAGATAGGCACATTGACCCTAAAAGGTTAAGTGCATTTTCACTATGTTGTTCTATCTAATAAGAATGCCTTCTCCCTGTTAATAGATAAAAATATTTGCCAGTGTCCCTTTATATCATTTCCACCACCATCTTTTCCCTTAGGGTTTGTGTAATACTGACAATCTGCAAAAGTTAGCCTAAATCCCCATGAGTCAAAGATTGCTTGCAAGGAAAGAGCCCTCTAAGCAGTACACAGCACAAGTACGGCTGTACTTTATGAGCAATGACCTTGAATGGACAGTTCCATCTGAGGGCAGGAGCTAAGTCATAAAATGGCCCAAAGATACTATTCTGTTTAACTTCAGGTAAAGTAAGATATTATTAAATAATTGCATGCATGAATATTAATGAAAAAGTGTAAATAAAAGTTCAGGCATTATTATTAAATACATGTGTAAAACAACTATGACACAAATTTGAATTATAATTACTAACTTCATTTCCTGTGAGGCTTTAAATTAAGTAATTAGATATACTAACCTTTTTAGTCATTCCCACTATTTTACTTAGTAAACATTCTTATTTCTGTTTTAGAAAATAGGTTAAACTCTGCTGGGCATGGGGGTGCATGCCTTTAATCCCAGTAGAGGCAGAGGCAGATGGATCTGTGAGTTCTAGGCCAGCCTGGTCTACATATTGAGTTCCAGGCCAGCTGGGGCTACAGGGACCTTTCCCTCCCCAACCCCAATCCCAATCCCGAAGTCTCAAAAAGGCAAACAAACAAACAAACAAAAAAACAAAACAAAAAAACAAAACAAAAAAACAACCCAAAACCAAAAACCAAAACAAACAAACAAAAAAACACAGGTTAAACTTAAGATTCTAATTTTGTTATTCAGGGTCTCCCATGCCCCTTCTTAAGCTCTTCACAAGTGACTCTACAGCTAGGATTGAATCCTATTGTATAAATCACAAAGACCTTATTAATGTGGCAAACAGAACACTGAGATAGGACTTAATCCTATAAAACTTTAAAGCAAACCATCTACATAGGGAACAGGCAAAGCAGAAAGGAAGACATTAGACAGCAATAACTGAAAAACCTATTCAATTATACTTCATCAAAATGTAAATCTTGGCCCAACAGGACAGCTTCACAAAAATGAACAGGCCAGTGAAGAGGAAACATATGAGGAGGAAATAATTGCAAATCATAAATCTAATACAGGAGCAGGATATCCAGGATAAATAGAGTTTCAGCTTGTCAGCAGCAATAAACACTCCAGTGGGCATGTGAAAATGGGTTAAACATCATTAGCTGTCAGGGAAATGCAAATCAAAACCTTGAGATAATGCTACACAGTAGAAATACTAAAATTAAAACAGCTATCAAATAACTACAAAAAGAAAACCAAAAGCAACTGACTCAAGATGGAGCATTTCATTCTATATAAATTTTATTTAAAAAAAAAAAACCTTCAACTATAGAAAAACACTGATTCTAAGTACTTACATGAAGTGTAATATATACTTAAACTGGTGATAAATAGAAACATAGCTATGCAATAAAGTAAATGCAATTAAAAAGTTGCAAAATCTGGGAGTTAAGCAAATCAGTACTCAATGCAAAACTCAGTATTTCTGTGCCAGGCAAGGTGGCACAAGCCTTTGATGCCAGGCAGAGGTGAACGGATCTCTGCAAGACTGAGACCAGCTTGGTCTACATAGCAGGTTCCAGGTCAGGTAGAACTACAAGGAGTCCCTGTCTCAAAAAGACAAACCACCACCAACAAAACTCAAAGACTGGTTTGGTGGTGCATGCTTTTAATCCCAGCACTCGGGAGGCAGAGCACATGGATCTCTCTGAGTTCGAGTCCAACCTGGTCTACATAGCAAGTTCCAGGTCAGCTGGGGCTACAGGGAGACCCTGTCTCAAAAAGACCAAAAAAAAAAGGAAAAAAAAACCCAAACAACCCTCAAAAAACAACAAAAACACACACAAACCAATAAAAGAAAGAAAGAAAGAAAAAAAAACTAAACATTTCTACATTTTCTATGTTTTTATTATAATACAATGTTGGAGAAAATGTTTATTTAGCTTTCATAATCAGTTATACTACCTATAAACATTATATATTACTAAACACTAGAAAATAAATATAAAAACCATCACACATTTTGTATATTATTCCTACACCTGAAGGAATCATGTTTAATACTGCCAAAATAACAGTCCATCATTTATTCGGCAAACATTGATTATTTATATTACACACAAGACGTTATGCTGTCTTAGAAAGTAATAGCTCACATTTTAAACACCCAATGGAGGCTCAAACTGCTTAATCATTTTAAGTTCAACATTTTATCCAAGAATCTTCAGTTCCTGATCAGAGCGATCTACAGTGTGTGTGTGTGTGTGTGTGTGTGTGTGTGTGTGTGTGTGTGTGTGTGTGTGTGTGTACACTTACTTATTTATGTATTTATCAAAGGCATGCACCACCATGTTGGGCTCATTATGTGTATTTTATGATCATACATTTTTTTTCTCTGAGTAAGTTTCAAAAAGAATTCCAGGATTTCTTCTAACTTTAAGAACAAAATGTAAACCGTATGCTGGTGATCTAAGAAAAAGGAAGACCTTAGGAACCAGCAAATATTTATAAGAATAAATGCAAGGCTCATAACACTCACCCAAGAGTAACATTTCCAGGAGGTGCATGTTATTGCCGAGACCTTGGTAGGGCCAGAGATAAACAAATGGTTGCAGGAAGTGACCTAACACACCACTCAAGGTTCACAGAACAGCCATGTCACAATGGCCTGCCTACAGATTTTTTTTTCTTCCCCTTCAAGAGGTTGAAAGAGGAGAGTGAGGCCCTGGGAAGATATCTGAGTACTCTAAGACTGCAGAGCACACACTGTGTGAGTGACTACACAGAAAGGCTTTAAGGAAGTAGCTGATGTTTTATCTCCCAACACAGTCTCTATTAAAATCACTGGCTTTTAGAGCCATATTTGAGGCTGAAAGCAAAGAAAAAAACAGACAAAACAAGATCAGAGTCAAGCCTCAGGGTATACAAAATGAAATAAAATATGCAAAAAAAATCAGTCAGTGCCTTACCAATATTAGTACTTAGCCCTTAATTTTATTACTGCTAGCGAAAACATTTATTGTAAGGACTCTTGGTCACCAACCACTTTGGCAGAGTAGATTCTGAAAGGGAAAAAAAATTCTCTGATCTCGCCCCAGGGCATCTGGACATTCTCAAGCATGCATGAAGAGGTGAGCGTGAGCCCACCATGCCTGGCTTTTCTCTAGGCACTCCCAATGTAGGTGGAAGTTGTCCTAGGGTACACTTGTCAACTTGAAAAAAATTAACTGTCTAGTCTTCCTTAAAAAAGTGTGTAATATTGAGCAGAAGTATTTTATATGAAACATCTCAATGTTTTTAGTAATTTGAGTAAGATGGTAAAGAACAGAAAATTCTAAATTTTTAAGGTAGGAAAACCATGCAATTTAGCGAGAAGAAATAATTACCATCCGCAGAGTAGGTAACATCAGGGACAAACTATACACATATGTACCTAAGAAACAGTCAGGCAAATATAGTCTGAAGGAAGAGGATTTAAAAAACCAAACTTTTACTATTAGGATTTACAAGCACATTACCTAGCCTCAGTTATTATTATGAGCCCATTTATTTATTTGTTTGCTGTTTATTAATTAAAAAAATTTCCACTTTCTTGTTTTACTTTTTATCATTTGATTGACTGATTTTGGATTGTTTTTGCTTTTGTTTTGGGGGCACAGTCAGTCTATAGCCCCATATGGCCTGGTAGAGCAGGCTGGCCTAGATCTCACAAATATTCACTGGCCTCTGCTTCTCAAGTGCTGGGATCAAAGGCTTGTGCCACCACTACACCCAGCATACGAGCCCACTTTAAAGCTAGAACTTGTATCCTGATTTCCAAATGATTATTGAGGCACAACCCTCACACAAAAATAAGTAACTATAATAAAAATAAAGACATTTGTTGTGAAGGAAAAGAAAGGGAAAGGAGGAAGGAAAACTAGACAAAAAAGCCTCTGTACAAAAAAACACTGGTTTTTCTCTTCCTAAATAACTTCAGACAATGGCAGATCTTCTTTTCTTTCCCCTGAGACAGGTCAAACTATGGTGTCAAACTCATAGTCCTCCTACCTCAGCTTCCTGACTGCTAGGATTGCAGACATATACCACGTCTGGCCAGCAAGTAACAAAAGTTTGCAGCACATGTCTTTCCAAGAGCCTTGAGAAGACAATGAAAGGAATAGAGTGGAGACAATTTGGGAAGGCCAAATGGAAGGTGAGAGCTGCTGGAAAACAATGAAATGGAAGGTGCACAGCATACTCCTCCCAGAGGTTTCAGTATGCTCCAGACCTGAATTCTGGAACTTCATGAATGATTCCTATACCACAGTTCTTAAACAAAGGAGAAACACAGTATCCTGGACAGTTTAATCACCAACTCACAAAACTGCTCTCAACACTTCTTCAAAGTCCCCATAAAACCAGAAGAAAGACGTCTTCATAGATGTTACAATGGCTTTGCCCCTTCAGACTTTACTATTAGGAAAACCACTTGTGGCATGTAACTGAGAACAGTATGATCTGCCCTATCTGCTGTGTGAAAGACCTTTGTTCCTAAAGGACAAAACAGAACTTGCTGCAGAGAGAAACAAATATTACTAAAGAAATATAAGGTCCCTACCCTCTACTTCCTGAGCCTCTTCATTGGAGAAAAAATTCAAGTTCTCTAGCATGGATCTAGAAAGTTCCAATTAAGCAGGCTGGATGACAAGGGATGAAATCACTAGGCTAAGTAGGGAGCTTCAGGCTTCAGCACATTCATCAGAAATGACTCTATGGCTCATTTATATGGATGACATCATATCGTCTGAGTTGTGGTCCCTTCCTGCCCACTGAAGGGTGTTCACTGCCATCTGACTTAGTTCATTCTAAAGGAACTCCCATGTCTTTAGACCCCAATCCAAGCTTAAAAACCCTCATGTAACCAGGCATGATTTTGTAGAAAATAAATCTGGCCATTGCCTTTTTCTAATCCCTGGCAATGTGGACTTTCCTTCTTCAAAAGGGAATACTCACATTTCTCTGTGAGTAAAACCTATACAGCTGGATATAAGCCTCCTTGCATGAAGCCTTTACAAGCTGGACCACAGATTATTAGCAAGAGTCACATGTTAAAGGAAATGATGAGCAAGGACATGATGAAGTAAGCACAGGAGGAAGAAGCCAAACGACAACAGGAGAACTGCTGGGAAAAATGAACAGAAGGGTCAGTCAATACCTTTGGGAAGATGAGGCCATCCATTTCATCACTGGGTGAATGAAAGAGGTCAGAATCACTCCCAGATTCTCTCTGAAGCACACTGTGTTTTGAGGTACACTCTGCACCCAGTCCAACATCTAAGAAGTTCTCACATTCTGAAAAAGAAAATGTATTCAATCAATACTTTGGGGAAAAAAAATTCGCTTTCTTTTTCTAAAAAGACTTTTATTTATTATTTTTATTTTGTGTGCATGAGTGTTTTCTCTGCATGTATGTTAAGTACACCTGTGTCAAGCAATGCCTGCTGAGGTCAGAAGAGGGTGTTGAATCCCCTGGAAATGGAGTTACAGATGGTTGTTAGCCATCATGTGGGTGCTGGGAACTGAACCTGGGTCCTTTGCAAGACCAGCCACTGCTCTTAACTGTTGAACAATCTTCCAAATTCACTTTCTTTTTCACACCAACAATCAGTCTTTTTCTCTTCTATTCACATATCCCATTGTCCCCCACCCACCCATCACCCCTTCATTTTAGATATTATAAAGTCAGAAAGGACATAGTCCAATTAGAACCTTTCAGATATATCAGCCTGATAGGTATTTTTTCTATTGGTTAGGTACTTGGGTAGGTCCTAGGGGTAGCCAAATAAAAAGATGTTTAGTGTGTGCTTACAGAATGGGCTATTTGCAATCTTATGGTAGAAATGAACATATTAAAAGATAATCATAAAGGATAACATAGCAAGTGAGGCACGACATATGAGTTATTCTAAAGTCTTTATTATAATAATTAACTTAGTTAATGGACAATTTGAGAACATTAGTTCAATGGGAATAGTATAGTATCTTTAAAAACAATAAATTATAGGCATTCTGGAGGGTCCCCCTATTGTGTATTCTCAGTAACTTACTGGAGTTGATGGGCTTGTGATCTTTTATTCACGCTTCTTTTGCTACTTGGAAAACCCAAAAAACTTCAGAATGTGATTGAGAGGAAAACAGGGAGTGTTGGCCAAGAAAAGAAAGGATTCTCACAGCAACTATGCTGAGCTGCTAGCTGTCTAGCTGGCAGTTAAAAGACTACATCTACATTCCAAACTGGAAAACAAACCTGCTTAAGATATTCTAATGGAAAATTCACAGGAAGATACAGATTCAGCTTTTGGTAAGATTCAGGTTTTGGTATCTGACTCAAAATATAAAGCCAGGCCAGAAAAAATGGGATGATTAGGGGCTGAAGAGATGGCTCAACGGTTAAGGTCACTGATTGCTCTTGCAGAGGACCTGGGTTTGATTCCCAGCACCTACACAGTGGCTTCGAACTGTCCTTAACTCCATCCAGTTCCAGGGAAATCTGAAGGCCTCTTCTGACCTCTGCGGCATTGCACGACAAAGGTGCACTCACATACAAGCAAGCGATACACTCATACACATAAAATAAAAATAATAAATAAAATATTTAAAAAATGGAATGATTAGTACATTCCCCCAAAGAGTTGCAGTGAAAGTTAGAAACAACTTATAAATGTAGTAACCAGACCCCTAGAATGAAGCACAGTGTAGGCTTGTGGTACATACGTGCCTAATGAAGTTTAGGCTTCATTAATCCTTAATGTGCACTTCTTGAAAAAATGTGGATAACAAAGACAAAACAGGGGCAAGCCTTGTTTTATCAGCCATAAAGAAATCTGTCTATAATTTTTATGTACTGATCAAGCAGATTTTTTAAGCTAGCAGAATATTGTAATTTTAAAGATGCCATCCAGTCACTTGAGTATGACAGTCGTACCACATAATGACATTTCTGCCAGTGACAGAACATATACAGTGCTGTATATACCACATAATCTAGGTGTGTAGGAGGCTATGCTATTTAGGTTTGCTTTAAGTATACACAAAGATGAAACTGCCTGATGTCAAACACATGTATCCTTGAGTTTAACACATTATGATTATGCTAACAAATTTCAGTTGAAAAGAGTTCTTAGAAATAGCAATATCTACTAGGTTTTATTAAATCATGCTAATCATAATTCTATCTTGTATTTATTCAGTACTCAAGTGCACACCAAGTCACTGTCATTCATAATGTCCTACTTGTTCTACATCCATTGCTGTCATGAGGAAATGTAATGTAAAGTAAAAAATGTTAGCAAAACCTGGGATTCTTTTCTTAAAAAAATCCAAATAAACTATGCCTAAAATAAAGACCTGAAGTCTAAGTTTGAGAGGCATAATCTAGATCTCGGATTCTGTTATAAGGAGGCTTGACAATAATCATTATAAGAAAATCAAATAGCCTATTCTATGAGTTAAAAAGATAGTGATTTAACAATTCATGATCATACCCTGACTAAGAAAGACCCTGCAATTCAAAATCATTCTTTAACGGAATAAATTAAACTACCATGTCTGGAGGTCCTTCTGTACTACAAATACTCAAATTGCAAGATTCATTTAACACTTACATGGCAGAAGTTTCATTACTTGGGTAACTGATTACACTTCCAGAAAAAATCCTTAATAGAACCTAATAGAACCAAAGCATAGGAGGTGCTAGACTTTTACTTCTAACACTTTAGAATATGGAGACCCAAACATAACTATAACATAACATCCTTTAACTATGTTCTCAAAAAGTATGACAAAAATGAGAAAATACTTCCCATATTTGTTTTCAATACTTCCTTTATAACAAAGTCAGGGTTGAGAATTGGTAGAACATCTCAGGATATAAATGACTAGGACAGTTGATTTTTTACCTTAAATACTACCGCAAGTCACCTATAGCTAAACTGTACCTTAAAAGGCCAGCAAATGAGAAGGACTTGGTAATTTTTAAATCAGATCAGTAAAATGATAAACACAGACTTCACTGGGGGAAATAAACAGTAGAAATCAAAATGTAAATCATCATTGCTCATGTAGGAGCCATAAGAGACAGCACAGGGACATGCTCAGAGACTGCTACTTACTATGTCATCTGTGCAATACTCCGATGAGGCAATCTAGTATAGCTTACATGTGGGAGACAATGGAACACAGATATGAGGGAATGTATCTTAAGTCAGAGTTGTTTGAACCTGAGTTAAAGATAGGACTGCTAACTAGTATCATTAGCAGGCAGGATTTTAAGAACATTTTACACCTCCATCTGTTGTGGCTAATACCTCATAGGCATGAAAGGAAAGGTTTATGATAATTCTTATAAAGTATAAGTGCTCTCCATTTTGGCTACCCAGAAGGAGCCTAAAAATATTCTGGTGGATGTCCAGGTCATATCCCAGCTCAATAAATACAATCTCTAAGGGCAGGACCAGGGCATCATCTACTTTCAAAGTTCTCTGGCTTGTATGACGGCAGTATGCAGTCGTGTGAACGATACGTTTGGTCCCAAACAACACATCATACAATATTATAGCATCAGATACCTTTACAAATTATCAACAATCATAAAGTCACATAAGTTTGTTAGTAATAAAAACCACTAAAATTACTAATAATTCCTAAAATAAAATTAAGGAAACTACTTATGTTTGATTTTGACTGTGAAATGACACAGTCATAGACATATACCATACCATACATAGACACATACCATCCTCTGATTTTCTGTAGGAATGGCAGGTCTCAATATCCAATTATTTCTTATTGGAGTGGGACTTTGAACATTTTGGGTGCAAATGGGAAGCCTGAAAATGTCTGCCTACCTGATCCCTGTTTGGAAGCCAAAAGAGATGCTGCATCAGGGCATGGTTCTATGGCACACCAGCTTTCTTGGTTTATCTGGAAAAGAAAAACAATTTTTTTCAGATGGTGAAGTAACAGAAGATAATTTTATAGCTCCAGAAAGTTTATGAATTGTCTGTACCCTCCTATTTTTAAAAATATTTTATTGTAAGATGGATAAAATTATGCCAAGAAAGAAAACAAACTCTACAACACCAAAATCAAGGCAATCTACGTTCAGTCAAAATCTCTAAAAAGAATCTCTAAAATGACTGCCAATAACAGGAGCATACAAAAAAAAATGAAAAGATACACAAAAAGAAAGTCTAATGCAGCAGAAAGGTGAAGTAAAGAAATTAACAGAAAGAACACTAAAATGCGTATTTGGTGTCATAATTTGCAATTTTAAAAACACAAAATATTTCCTATTTTAGAATAACTTTACACCAGATACCAGGCTAAAAATTCAACACATGCAGGGCACAGTGGTGCACACCCTTAATTCTAGCACTTGGGAGGGAGAGGCAGAGGCAGAGGCCAGTGGATCTTTGTGAATTTCAGGTCATCTGGGGCTACAAGGAGACCCTGCCTGCAAAAGATGCCCCCTGCCCCAAGTCTTTACTAAAAATGCTTTCAAGTGAGTGAAAAGTTTTACATTAATTCAAAACCAGGAAGATAAAAAAAATACAAGAGACAGAAATGAAAAAACATTAATTTCAATGATAAGAAAAGCTCGTTCCATGAAAAGGTCAATAGTATCAAGAAAATCCTAACTGGCCTGAAGAAGAAAAAAAGTTACTACCAGTACTGTGAATTCAAGAGGGAATTTACAGATCTCTAGATACAGAAAGAATGATTAAGGAATATTATGAACAATTTCTGTGTAAAAATTTATTGAGTTTGGGGCTGGAAAGATGGCTCAGCTTTTAAGAACACTGATTGTTCTTGCAGAAGACCCGGGTTCAAATCCCAGCACCCACATGGCAGCTAACAACTGTCCATAATTCCAGTTCCAGGGGATCCAACAGCCTCTTCTGTCCTCCGTAGACACTGCATGACATGGGTGCACTTACCTACATGCAGGCAATACACACATACACATAAAATAAAAATAATAAAATTAAAAAAAATTACTGAGTTTGATGAAATATTCATAAAACCATCAAAATTTACCCAAGAAGACAAAATCTGAATAGTCTTAGTCTATTAAAGCCACTGAAGCTATAGGTTAAAATTTTCCTTTAAGGGAAACTCTAGGCCTAGATGGCATTAGATGGCATTTGATGGTGAACACCATCAAATGTTTAAGGAAGAAATAATACAAATTTCATACAAACTCTTTCAGAAAACAAATAAGCAACAACATACAGCTTAGTTCTTGAGATCAGCATTACTCTGACATCAAAACCAGACAAAGGCATAAGAAAAATATTAATCAATCTTACTTAGGAACATTGATGAAAAAAAGAAATTACAAAATTTTACATAAACTGACTTGGGCAATATATGTGAAAGGTAAGTATATCATGGCCAAGTAGGTTAACTCCAAAAAGAAAAGTTCAGGGTAGTAGTCCCTCACCCCATTCCCCCAAATCAACAAACTTACAAAAAAAAAAAAAAAAAAAGAGTTATTTACAGTGGTATCAAGAAATGTAATTAGAGAAAAATTTAAAAGATGAATGCTACGAGAACTACAAGTTCCACAACTGATCAAACGCAGAGAACATGTGACTGTGAGGTGCCCAGCCCTAAGAGATGCATCTACAATGCAATGTCTACATCCTAAGGTCACAGGAAACATCATGAAGAGGGTAGGGTGCTGAAGGAATTTAAGAGCCAGAGGAAGAAGACACCTGCTACTAGTTAATGCATTCTAAACATCCTAGAGAAACCGCACCAATAAATTCTCCACAGCATGGCAGTCTAACAAGATCTGAATAATGACAAAACCAGTTGGCATGCCAAGGTGGATGCAGAAAATTTCACAGGGTCCCACAGCAAGACAAAGAGCTATAGGCAATCAGGGAGGGAGAAACAGTTTTCTCCAGGGATGAGCTCCCTGAGAGGTTATCTAATCCCAAGTGGGTAGCCCTAAACCCAGGCACACATGAACACCAATAAATAGACTCAGTGCATATTATATATATATATGCACATATAATAATGATCAAAAAAGAGGAAAAGAAATTGAGAGAAGTGGAGGGGGCATGGGAGTTGGCGGTGGGGACTAGGAGGGATAGAAATGATGCAAATACAATACTCATGTATGAAATTCTCAAAAAATAAATTAAGAAAAACTCCACTGGCTGAAATTAAAGGCTTACATAAACACAGAGATATCATGTTTACAAATCAGAAAACTGAGTTCTCCCTAGTATCATAAATATGACTTTAAAACATACTGTAAAAGGTACACTAATCAAACCAGTGTGAAAACAGCTAGAGAGATGACTCCGTGATTAAGAGTGGTTATTGCAAGTTCAGTCCCCAGCACCCACACCTGGCTGCTTAAAACCACTTGTAACTCCAGCTCCAGGGAATATGATGTCCTCTTCTTGTCTCCATGGGCACCTGCACACAGGTGGCATACAAAGAATAAATCATACAAGAAACTTGAAAAAAAAACACAAAGAAATACATATCCACTAAAATAACAAAAACTGGTGGACCAACAGTACTAAAAGCTGGCCAAGATGTGACACACAGGAAACATGACACATGGCTGAGTGCATGCAAAATCGTGCAGTGATTTGGAAAACAAGTTTAGCAGTTCATGTTATGTCAAACATATACTTATAAACACGTTCAACCCAGCACCCAACTATAGTTATTTATTCAAGTAAAATTATTGCACACTTTCTTTTTTTAAAAAATATTTTAGCCGGGCGTGGTGGTGCATGCCTTTAATCCCAGCACTTGGGAGGCAGAGGCAGGAGGATCTCTGTGAGTTCAAGGCCAGCCTGGTCTACATAGTGAGTTCCAGGACAGTTGGGGCTACAGGAGACCCTGTCTCAAAAAGACCAAAAAAATTTTATTTATTATTTTTATATTTTTATGTGTATGCATGTATTGCCTGCATGTAGGTCAGTGTACCTGTGTTGTGCAATGTCTGTGGAGGACAGAAGAGGCTGTTGGATCCCCTGGAACTGGAGTTATGGACAGTTGTTAGCTGCCATGTGGATACTGGGATTCGAACCCAGATCTTCTGCAAGAACATTCAGTGTTCTTAACTGCTGAGCCATCTCTCCAGCCCAACACATTTTCATTTTAATTGTGTATATTTGTGTTGGTGTGCTCATCCCATGGTATGTGTGGAGGTCAGAGGACAACTTGATAGAATTGGTCTTCTCCTGACACCCTGTGTGTGCCAAAGTATTGAACTCGGGTCATCAGACTTGACAGCAAGCATCATTACACACTGTGGCAACTTGGCAGTCCCAAAGGTACTTTTATACAGATTTAGACTGGCATTTTCATAGCAACTTAAAACATGATGCACCCAAACTGACAGAAATAAACTATGATATATTCATACAGTGCAATACTCATAAGAAGGTATGCTCTGACTAAAACAACATGGACCAATCTTAAAGTATTATGCTAAGAGGCGGAAAAGGACAAATGCTAGTCACAAAAGCCTACCTATAAAACTATATGTTTTAATCTAGATGACCGTTCTAATCAGCTTCATTGTTGTGACAAAACACTGACCAATACCAGCTTGGAGAAAGAAAGTTTATTTGGCTTACGTCTCACGGGTCACAGTCTATCACTGAGGGAGCCCAAGGTAGGAACTCAGGGAAGGAACCTGGAGGCGGAAGCTGAAGGAAGGCCATGGAGGAATGCTGCTTACTGGCTTGCTCCCCTGGCCTGTGCTCAACCTGCTTCCTTACACAATATAGGCACACCTGCCTGGAGGTGGCACCACCCATAGTGGGCTGGGCCCTCCCACATCACTCAACAATGAAGAAAATGTCCCACAGACATGGTCACAGGCCAGTCCAATGAGGCAATTCTCCAAATGAGGCTTCCTCTTCCTGGGTGTGTCAAGCTGACAACTAAAGCTATCCAGTAGAATGATATTTTAGAAAAGGTAAAACTGTAGTGACAGAAATCATATTAGTGATTAACAAGGATGAGGAGACACAATACAAATAAATGGACAGGGGGAACTTTTGAGCTTAGTCAATATATTCCTATGTGATATCAAGTAGTGATTTTGTGACTTAATATCTACTAAAGCCCATCAAAATGCAAAGGTAAACTGGTCATCTGTCTATCTCCATGCTGAAGATTAAACTGAAAGCTTTGTGGATCACAGACCAGTGAACTACCACTGAGCTATATACCCAGCCCAGTGAATTTCTTTGCATATAAAGAGAATACAAAAAGTTCGGTTTTTATAAGTATTTAAATATTACAACATTCTATCTCATTGAAATTGAACTGAAATTCTAAATATGAACTGGAGTATCAAAATAAATCATCACATAGTTGAATAATTACAATGCCAACAGTTAGAAGCTATGATTTTATCTAATGATCTTTGGAATACAGTATATTCCCACTAGAACTGTGATCACTGGTGAGAAGATATTCAACTAATGTGTTGATTAAAAATAAAGTTTTCTTAAATATATTCCAAGTGGGATGAAACAGCAAGCTAGAGATGCTTTTTCTTTCTATTTGGTAATAGAAAAGATAAGCTAAGTTACTTGCAAATAATCACTTGTGAGCAACTGTGCAAATTTAAACCCATGTGAAACGAAATACCATTTGTTCATTTATGTTATTTCATAAAGAAAAAAGAGAGGCAGTAGTCAGGGGGCATGTGGCAAAAGGATGCAAAAAATTTGAAATGGAAGGTAATATTCAGCAGCTTCCTTGGGATTATACAGAATATTCACTCCAAAAAATAATTTTGGTGTGTACAATCAAAAGTAACCACAAAGTCAGTGATTTTACAAAAGTCAACCTACATCTTTGAAAAACTTGTATTAGATATTCTTCTCTTTTTTAAGAAAGATTTGTTACCTGAAGTGAATTTCTTACTTTGC